TCAGTCAATCGATTTATCGATCTGGCGCCGATGTAAATCGCCCTGCTCAGGTATCTGCGGTCTGATAACACTGGTGGTTGATTGCGCACCCCCCTCTGTAAAGTTTGATTGGCCCCTGCCTCCTATAAATGTTGTTTGTCTTTCGTTGACGCCTTTTATCTCACATGGCGGACTCCAGAAAGAGCCCGAAAGCTTATAAAAGTAAAAACATGATTCCGGTGATCGAAACGCCTTCTATTTTTCTATTTGGGATCATTTCAAACACATGAGAAAGAGCTTATATTTACAAGTTGCGTCCTATAGACAGAAAATAATACAACAATACAATACAGTACAAACCTTTAATACACTGATGTATACCGGGAACAGAAATTAATTTTTCAGGAGATTAGAAAGCTCAACTTCCAAAAACCGGTATATTAACCAGAAAGCAGACAGGGAAAGCTGGGGGACCCACTTATTAGCCGGACCCCTTGGAGTTGTGCCAAGCAGCGGCAGAATACCGGCGAACCACGTCTCTGGACCTTTTAGCTATCATCTAGGCTGCTAGTATGGTAAGTTATAACATCAGTAAGTACAACGTGTGCTGGCTAGAGAGACCAGGAATGTTAGTTCGTAAGTTGGATGTATGGGCCAGGAGCTCTGTCACAGGAAAGTGTGATTCACCGACTGGGCTTGATTTCTGAGCCGTAAGTTATTTTCCGGCGTACATCCAATACATCCCTTCCTCTGCTACAATATATCAATTGGGTTGCTTATAACCGTCGTCGATTGCATAAGCAGTGCAATTCGAAATTTGTGAGCATTATAAGCACATGGGAAATAATTTTCGAGTTGCACGTTGCTACTTATATGCAGTCAGTAGTGCACCAGTTATGGGCTACAGTAACTTTTTACTCACACATCAGATAGTCAGCAAGTCAGATACATCACGGTTTGGGTCAGGAGTTCTGGGTTAAAAGACACAGAGAAGTCTTGTTCACTAATCCTGACTTATCTTTGGACCATAAGTTATTTTTCGGCAGCGTACATCAAGCATATCCTTACCTGTGTTGCAATGTAGCAATTAGGTTTCTTGTAACCGTCGATGTAGTTGGCATTGATGTAGTCAGATCCTGGGACGCCCTCAAGGCTGCGAAGGATGACCCGCGAGTGATCGTAGGCCACTACGTTGGCGTATCGATTCTTGGACTTATTCACCTCCAGATTAGAGGTCTCCCAGGAGAACTGATGTCCCGGATCAATCGACTCGTATTCTTGGGAGAGCAGTCGATTGTCGTCGGCACTCAGCTTCCTGATGTGTTCAGCCAAGTAAGCAGCAGGAATGGGTCTCCGGTTGAGGGTTCCTGATTGGATGAAAGACGAGGCGACGTGATCGAATGTCAGGAAATAAGCCCATCAGTAGGAAATCATGCACATATTTTTTGCTCTTATACCTGAGAAACTATAGTTTTATATATACATACCATCCAGGTCGATCTGAGGAATGAGCAACAGTAGCTTATGTAATTCCCCTCATTAATCCCTACTCCCAGCATGTTGTCCTACGAAAACGGGGGTTATGAGGGTGGGGAATTAGGACACGCAATGGAATATACTTTGATAACTGCTAGATGCATTTTAATTTTATTGGATTTAGAAGTTTGAAGATTGCGTATACAGCAGAATTTAATGGAACCATAAATTTCGCGAGTGCTCATCAGCCGCCTCTTCTAGCTGCATAAAGTGCGTAACGAATGAGAAAATACAGAATTGAATTCCTACAGAAAAATCGATACAAAACAGCAAGTTTACAAGAAAGGGCCAAGAGGCGATCAATAACGTAGGAAAGTTAAACGCAGTGGGCTACCTGGAGGCAGCCTACATACGGTGATTTAAACCTGACCTATGCAAACAACTAGAGCATGTGGTGAATCTGACTTTGCCGTGGTAACACCGGCTTCCTTTTTATACATTCCTCTTCCCAAGCCTTGTTTGCCTTACACGTTTTTGCCTTAGACGTTTTTTCCACCGTTTTTGCTGCCCACAGCGTTTAAGTTTCCTACTTTATTGATTGCCTCTTGGTCATTTCTCGTTACCTTGCTGTTTTTTATCGATTTTTCTGTGTGAATTCAATCCTGTATTTTCTCATTCGTTACTCACTTTATGCAGCGAGAGGACGCAGCTTGTGAGCACTCGCAAAATTTATGGTTCCAATGAATTCTGCTATATACGCAATTT